ATTTGGAAAAATATGAAGACGTAAAAGACACATTATTTAGTTTTGATAATTACTAAAAGTAGAACCATTATGGAGACTGTAGAAAATGAGGAGTAAGAAAGACGGAGTGGACATAAGTGTTACCTAGTGAAATATAATATTAAATGGAAATTGAATTTAGAAATAAGAAGCACAGGAGGTCGAAGCACTGTGGGAAGCCATGTATAGGGGAGGGAAATGGGAGGGGGAAGGATGTAACGAGGGTAAAAAGATATGGGACATAAGTTTTATTGTTGAACAGATGATGGATACTAAAATGTTATATTGGTTGACTTGATGTTATATCCAAATAAAGTTGTTTTTTTTAAAAAAAGACTTTGTGTAAATTTGGATCTTCAAAATAACTTTTATTTTTTAAAACATAATCACAATATGCAGGTAAGAGTTGTGGCAACAGATCTGTCTTTTCAATTATGGAACCTTCTGGGCGTGGGAGTAACAGTTTACAAGCTTCCAAGTTACCCAGTGCTAACCCGTTCTCAAGTCTACTACTTGCAGCTAAACTACATGTTAACATCAGCCCTTGACAATGATCTTTTTATAGCACAAGGGAGAAAAGATAGGACAGCACAGCAACTATAGAGACTACTGGACAAATCAGCTGAAATCAGGGTTGCTTTTGGCATTCCTACATCACTGTTATGCTAACATTAGTACAGAAGCTCCCTTTGAAGTTTATCACAGTTCATCAACATTGTATACAAGGGATATCTCACAGGCATCGTATACCTTTGAAGAGTGGATCTAGGCTGCCCTCTAATGTCCAAAAATAACAGTTAATGATAGATGTAGAGCAGCCTCAGAATATTGTTACTGGAGCATATCAGAAATAGACTACTCTTAAGTATAAGAATAAAGCACATTAAGAGCACATGGTGGAATTAAATAAACCTTTAAAAAGGTGTCCGTCCAGTCATTTGCTTGGCCACAGTAAGATCATGGTGACTTTTGCAGTTCATACCTTCACTTCTTTCAAGCCATGGATTCCATAAGGGATGTTTGGTTTATTTATATGAAATATATGCCCACCTTTCTCCTGTGCATCTCAGGATCCAAAGTGAATACTTGGTTTGAGACTTTAGGCCATCACTCTGACTTCACTAATGACCAACACAAACCTGATGCACCAGGTACTAAGGCAGGCAATCACTTCACCCTTTAAAATGGGCAGAGTAACTTGTCACTTAGTTGTATTACAGTGAAACAGGCATGCAATACAGTTGCACAGGTGCTTTAATTTTCTCCTGTGAGAATTTCCAGTGCGTAACATATTGTAAATTTAAAACATCCAGAAAACCACAGACTGAATATCAATCTCCACATATTACATCACAATTCAATAACAATGTTTATAGCTTTATATATTTATGAAACACAGTGAACAAAATGGCATGTTCCCCCCCCACTATTTTTCTTTGTAAACAAGGTCTTCATAGAGGATGGTCAATGGAATTGATGCAGACCACTGTACGAAAGAGGAATGATATTTTTTTAATTATTATCTTTAAATAAAGGACTATTTATAAATACACTCTGGTTCTCTCAATATACATTTACAGACCTGATCAATTAAAAGCAATACTATACTTCTCTTTTTAAAAAGAAAGATGTCAAGAGATGGTCCACAATGGAGGTTGTTCTCCTATGCAAAAGGGAGGAAGAAGCAAGCACAGGTTTACAAGAGAGTTAGAAGCGCCGCCGTTCTTCAACCTCATTTCTGCTTGTACAACCAATACCATGAGAGGATCGCCAGGGTCAGAAGTCATTTACTTGAACTCAAGCAAGTTACAGTCTATCTTGTAATA